CCCCAGACTCCGCAACCCCAGGCTCCGCACCCCCAGGCTCCGCACCCCCAGGCTCCGCACGCTCAGGCTCAGCACCCTCAGGCTCAGCACCCCTAGCAGGACGAGAGTCGACAGCTACCTCGACAAGCTCAACCGGGTCTACCTGGGACACACCTGAGGGAGCGGCACCCTGAGGGGGGAGGGGGTCTACCACAGCAGCACCTGGCGCGAGGAAGAGAAGCGGGGGGGGAAGCGGGGCAGTGCGGTAGGGGAAGAGGCGGTAGTAGGGGACGGACTCGTCGAAAGTGACGTCCTGAGAAGGCAGGACACGGCGCGAGGTGGGGTGGTAAAACTGCCAACCAGACGCGTCTGGGACAAAGCCAAGGAAGACACAAGGAACAGCGCGGGAGGAGAGCTTGTCCGCGGACGTATCGCGAACAAAGGCTCGAGATCCCCAGACCCGAAAGCGTGACGCATCGCCAACCTCTCCTGTCCAACGCAGTGTCGGCGAAGTCTCCGGAACGGAGACACGGGGCCAGAGGTTGAGCTGATGCGCAGCGTATCGGACTGCAAACGGCCACAGAAAGTGGGGGGCAGCCGCATGGATCAAGGAGGTACGAGCGACCTCCATGACCAAGCCAATGCGGCGCTCAGCAACCCCATTCTGCTGTGAAGAGGCCGGAAGCATGAACGACTGGCGGATGCCGTGCTCCGCACAGTAGGCTGCCAAGAGGTCGGAGGAGAACTCACCACCTCTGTCAGAGTGCAAGCGCAGGACAGGAAAGTCCGAGTGGAAACGCTCGCTGAGCTGGAGACGAGAAGCGCTGATCCAAGGGATCAAAACATCAGGGACCTCACCCTTGGTGCGCAAGGGGAAGACCGTGGTGTAGCGCGAGTAGTCGTCAACAACTATCAGGAAGTACCTCTCCTGACCCTGACCACGGACGCGGGCTGGGCCCCACACGTCCATGTGGAGCGTCTGCAAGGGAGCAGTCGTCGGGGGAAACGAGGAGGAGTGAGGAGCGGCGCGCTGCCGCCCCTCGACACAGGGAAGACAGGGAGGAGCAGGCGAGGGTGGGAGGGGAGGGAGAACCCTGGGAAGACCAGAGACAAGGTACCGTTTGTGTATGGCACGAAGGCGCTGCACGGACGGGTGACCAAGTCGGTGGTGCCAGAGGACGGTCTCGTGCGCCAGAGAGCGACACGAGCAGGGGGCCGACAGCTGACCTGACGCAGACGCAGACGCAGCTACCTGAGGGGACTCAGTGGTCAGTGTGTACAGGTCCGACCCCGGCTGCCGAGTGAAGGTAGCCAGGTGACGGCCCGTCCGAGCACACGTGCAGTGTGTCACGCGCTCGTAGGCAGGGGTGAACTGGTGAACACCCCCGTCCTGGAGCGCACAACCCGCCACCAAGTTCGTAGAGAACGAGGGGAGGTGGAGACCTGACAGTGTGCCCGACGGAACCGCAGGACAAGGAAGGACAGTGGAGGAGGTCGCAATGACCGGACCCCCAGAGGGGTCAGCGAGGGAGACAGCAACTGGGCGAGCAAGCGGCTCAAGGGCAGTGCGGTCACGAAAGAAACAGCGAGAAGCACCTGAGTCCATAGTGAAGGTGTGCAGTGCCTCAGTCGACTCAGTACCAGGGGGCGCAGACTCACAAGCACCTAGAGCAGCAGCCTCACCAGCACCTGGGGTAGCAGACACGCAAGTACCGGGAGTGGTAGCCTCACCAGCACCTAGGGCAACAGACGCACTAGCACCTAGAGCGGCAGCCTCACTCACAGGACACGGCAGCTGCACCTGTCCACTACCAGAAGCTCCCGAACGACGCACTCCAGAGCGACTACCACTACGGCCACCCCGACAGCCCCAACTGGCGTACCACTCACGAAGCTGCTGGGGCGAAAGAGGACACGGCAGCTGCACCTGTCCACTACCAGAAGCTCCCGACCGACCCACTCCAGAGCGACTACCACTACGGCCACCCCGACAGCCCCAACTAGCGTACCACGCACGAAGCTGCTGGGGCGAAAGAGGACACGGCAGCTGCACCTGTCCACTACCAGAAGCTCCCGACCGACCCACTCCAGAGCGACTACCACTACGGCCACCCCGACAGCCCCAACTAGCGTACCACTCACGAAGCTGCTGGGGCGTGAGGGACTCACGCGCACGGCCCTGGAGCTGCATCTGGCCACGCCAGAAGCAGCAGTAGCAGCAGTAGCGGCAGTAACAGCAGTAACAGCAGGAGCAGTAGCAGTGGGAGTAGAAAAGGCAGTAGCAGCGGTAGCAGTGCTGGCAGGGCAATGCTCACCAGTGGTCGGCGCGGCAGGCGCAAGACGGTGGCGACAGCGGGGCCGCTACAACTGCAGGGCGGGGCCGGGCCGCAGCAGGGAGCTCCGCGACAGCTGCTGCAGGGCGAGGCCGGGCCGCGACGGCAGCTGCTCCAGGTGCCAGGGGCGGCTGCTGCAGTGGCGGCTGCTCCAGGGGCCAGGGGCGGCTGCTGCAGCGGTGGTTGCTCCAGGGGCCAGGGGCGGCTGCTACAGGGGCGGCTGCTCCAGGGGCGAGGGGCGGCTCCTGCAGTGGCGGCTGCTCCAGTGGCCAGGGGCGGCTGCTGCAGGGGCGGCTGCTCCAGAGGCCAGGCGCGGATTAGGTCAGGGCGACGCGGCGAGCAGGGCGACGCGGCGGGCAGGTGGCGACGCCGCGGGCAGGGCGACGTGGCGGGCAGGTGACGACGCCGCGGGCAGGGCGACGCGGCGAGCAGGTGACGACGCCGCGAGCAGGGCGACGCGGCGGGCAGGTGACGACGCCGCGAGCAGGGCGACGCCGCGAGCAGGTGGCGACGCCGCGGGCAGGGCGACGCGGCGAGCAGGTGACGACGCCGCGGGCAGGCGACGACGCCGCGGGCAGGCGACGACGCCGCGGGCAGGCGACGACGTCGCGGGCAGGGGCTACGTCGCGGGTAGGCGACGACGCCGCAGGCAGGCGACGACGCCGCGGGCAGGCGACGACGCCGCGGGCAGGCGACGACGCCGCGGGCAGGGGCTACGTCGCGGGCAGGTGACGACGCCGCGGGCAGGCGGCGACGCCGCGGGCAGGGCGACGCGGCGGGCGGCGAGAGCCTGCAGGGGCGGCGCGCGGTCGGGCAGAGGCTGCGCGCGGGCCTGACGAGTCTGCAGGGGCGGCTCTCGGGCCTGACGGGCCTGCAGAGGCGGCTCGGGGGGGGGCCTGACGGGTCTGCAGAGGCGGCTCGGGGGCCTGACGGACCTGCAGGGGCGGCTCGAGGGCGCACGAGGGCGCTCGAGGGCGCACGAGGGCGCACGAGGGCGCACGAGGGCGCACGAGGGCGCACGAGGGCGCACGAGGGCGCACGAGGGCGCACGAAGGCGCACGAGGGCGCACGAGGGCGCACTAGCAGAGAAAGGCGCACGAGGGCGCACGTAAGGTAGGACGCACGAGGGCGCTTCTAGCGGAATAGTGGGCCCATAGTAGAAAGCGGTCCTAGGTAGCAACCTAGGCTCGATGTTAGAATCTAGAATAGAACGAGAATGGATGAAACTAGGTAGGAGGGGGATACAAGTAGGAAACCCTAACAAAGCTGTACCCCCTAAGGCTAAACCCACTATAGCCTACACAATATAAACATATAATGTTTGACATCTCGTTCAGTTAGATTTTGTCACGTACGCCCACTGAGGACAACTGGGTCCCCCTGGATAGAATTGAGAACCCACCGTCCTCACCGAGTACCTGCGCAACCGAAATTTCCGCGACGTACATGCACTTTCGTAAGGGGCCTCCCTTGGGGAGGGGGGTAGTGTAAGGAAATTTTCGTTTCCTTACTTCGCATCCCTGCTTACCGCGTATACGGCTGTTCCCGCCAACAGTACCCAACAGTAAACCGTTACCACCTCGCAACACTCGCCTCGACTACTGTTCCCGCCACTGTTCACATCGCGACCCAACCTCACGGCTCGGCTGGTAACCCGCGCTCCGGTCAGGCCATATGATATCAGGAATTTTACCCTGAAATTCCTGTTTTTCAGGGAGGTTTTGTGTACCTACACTGATCTTTCAGTGTTCAGCTTTTTGTGGTACTGATTTTTCAGCCTTATTTAGCCAGATGACCCTGAACTTTAAGATTTTTTTTTTTAGGCACACTGAGTCCACTACGTTGTAACGAAACTGACACTGAATGCGATTCCTAACCGTTCCGAGTGGATTTGCCCGGAAGTACATGGAATCTCAGATTCCCGCGGTGTTAGCACCGCCTGGCGGTGAATACCAGACAAATTCGCCCCGTGTTATTCACTTTGAGGGTTGTTTTGTTGGCGCGACTGGTCAGATCATTGGCCAGTTTTGCTGCATCATATGGGTTGACCAATCAGAAGGTTGCAATACAGCGATGCTGGCAAGCTGCGATGCGAGGGTTCTGTCCTGTTGCTTGCACCTGTGGCGCGTCTTGCTTGCTTGCTAGTGTTATCTTATTTAAAGACCTTTAATATCAGCCTTTGCTAAAAGGGAACACTGATGCATCAGACTTTTTTTTTGGGTAACACTGAACTTTCAGGCTTTTTTTTTAGGGGACACTGTCGAGGGATTCTACAGAGAGGGACCCTGATGCATTAGGCCATATGATATCAGGAATTTTACCCTGATTCTACACAAAGTGAATCATAGGCCCTCACTCCGGACCTCCGCCTCGGCGCGAGGCCTGTGTGCACCCCACAATTCGCACTCTACCGTTACCACGCTAGTTTGCTATTTAAAGCCCAAGACTTACAAAAAACGAAGGCAAACTGTGCACAGTTTGCCTCCCGCAGCCCACAGTTTTGCCCCGCGTTGACTTGCGTTGAGCAATTCAGGTCTTGGGCTTTAACATTCGCTCATTCCTTCGCTCAATGTACTTGTTGCCTCGATGGTGCAATATTAGTTCACAACAATATCTGCAGTGAAATTAATCGCTCCATAAATTTGAAATTCTGTAGTACACATATCGAACAGGACCCAGCCAGAAACAATGGCGGAGGAAGCGGAACGCTACCGCGCCCAATCTTCCGCGGAGCCTGCGGAGCCCTCCGCAAGCGGGCCTGCGGATCTTTCGGCGGCCGTGGCGGCAGAGGGGGCGACCGAAGACGGCGATTCTCCAGGGGAAGGAGCTCCGACGGCTGCGCCGCCTTTCACGGCGGCAGCCACGGGAGGGGTGCCCGGAGAACGCGGCGAAGACAGCGGGGGCTTAACCGACGGCGGGATCTGGACGCGCGAATTTAGCGAGGAGGGTCCTGACGGGACGTTTCATTTTCAAGTGGTGAAGCTGAACCAGCAGGTGCGCGTGCGAGGGGAAAGGCGCAGGGGAAATCAGGATGTTCGGGGAGGGGAAATTAGGTGGGGTAGGGGAAGGGTAAATAGGAGGGGTAGGGAGAAGAGGTAAAGAGGAGGGGTCAGTATGAGGGGAAATAGGAGTATTGCGGAGGAGGGGTAAGGAGGGAGGGTTAATAGAAGGGTGGAGGAGCGGTAACTAGGGGGGTAAGGAGGAGTAAGGAAGGGTGAGGAGGAAAGGTAAAGTGGAGGAGTAAATAGGTGGGTTAAGGAAGATCTGTATGGAGGGAGGAGTAAGGAGGTGAAAGGAGCTGTAAGGAGGTGGAAGGAGTTATAAGGAGGTGAAAGGAGGGACTCGATAGATGCAGAGCGCTGAACGATATGGGAGAGGTGAAGGGAGAGATGGGGGAGAGGATCTAGCACCGAACGATGTGTGTATCACCCATCCTCTTAACGCGACACCGCACTGCACCCAACCAGTTGTCCATCCCTCATGCCACTTTCTCAGCAGTTATACGTCGTGAGGAGGGTGTGGTGTGGTGTGGTGTGGTGTGGTGTGGTGTGGTGTTAACCTCACACGGCTTCGTTGGGTACCCCCCCACCAGCTTTGACGTTTGAGTCGACTCAAAAGTCACCCCGCACCAACTTTGATATGCTCCACTGTCCACACCCCCGGTTTCGGCACTACCTTGCTTGCTCCTTCATGGGGCACCCCGCCCCTGTCACACACCCTGTCACTCCAATTTACCCATCCATGCCCCCATGCCGCCATGCCTCCATACCTCCATGCCCGCATGCCGCCATACCCCCACCCCCCCGCTCCCATCCACCCATCGCCCAGCAGGTGTACGTGTGGATGGGACTTAACACCGCATCACCCACCATGGCAACGCTTTTTGAGCCGCCTCAGAATCTTCCATGCTCCCATTCACCCGTGCACCCATCCCCCCCATCCCCCCCATCCCCCCATGCTCCATGACCCCCCACCCCATGCCCCCATCGCCCAGCAGGTGGACGTGTGGGTGGGACTCAACACCGCATCCCATGGCAACGTATTTTATGATGTCTCAAAAAGGCTCCACACTCCTATTCACCCATGCCCCCATGCACCACCCATCCCACCATACACCATCCATCCCCCCATGCCCCCACTGCCCAGCAGGTGTACGTGTGGGTGGGACTCAACACCGCATCCCATGGCAACGTCTACACTGCAATCCCCACCAGATTCGTACGCTCACACCTCCTCATCCGTCTATTCGGGCGCCTCAAAAGTGCTCAAACCTCTTCATCCGCATTTTGAGGCGCCTACGAAATTGCTCACACTTCCTCATCCGCCATCATCCAAGCGTGCTTCCGTTTTGTCCCTGTCTGCTTGTGAGGCATCTCAAAAAACCATACTCCACACCTGTGCCGATTCAAATCTTCGCATGAAGGCACCTGGAGTGCACACAACATCATGTATGCAGCACCACCATGCACACACATGCATGATGGCATGCCTCATCACGTGTCGCTTTTTTCGTAGCTGTCCTTCTGTTGTTACTATGCTATTGGCCACGTCTTGACTCTTGAGACGTCTCAAAACTTCTATTCTCAGGCACGACAGCACGAGGTTCTTGTCTCTCCCATCTCTTTCCATCCCGCTCCACTCCTTTGTCTTTTGCTCCTACATTGGCTTTCCCTTCAAGAACTCTTTACCTCCCTCCATACTCCTCCGTACACCTCCGTACCCATCCGTACCCCTCCGTAGCCTGTCACGCTCTGTCCTTTATCTGTCCCATCCAACCAGCGTCCTATTTTCTTTGGCAACCAGCGTCCTATTTTCTTTGGCAACCAGCGTCCTATTTTCATTCAGTTCTCTCTTTTTCTCTCCAACTCTGTATACTCCCTCGATTTTTACCTGCCTCGTCCACGTTCTCGCCCCACTTACTAACCCGCAACTTCCACCCCCCCTCCTCATATCCCCCCACCTCCTATCCCCCGCTTCCTATTCCCCCACTTCGCTCTCGTGCCCCACATCCCCGTATCTGTGAGCCTCCCAGGACCCCATGCCGCTCGTCACGCCTCTGATTGGTGGCGGTGCGGAGGGTGCCTCTGCAACCATGGCCGCCAGATTAAGTGAGTGCAGAGGCGGGAGCTGTCAAAAGCGGACAGGTGGGCTGCGGAGGCCAGATTAAGTGAGTGCAGAGACGGGCACCAAATTAAGTGAGTGCAGAGGCGGGCACCAGATTAAGTGAGTGCAGAGGCGGGCACCAGATTAAGTGAGTGCAGAGACGGGCACCAGATTAAGTGAATGCAGAGACGGGCACCAGATTAAGTGAGTGCAGAGACGGGCACCAGATTAAGTGAGTGCAGAGACGGGCACCAGATTAAGTGAGTGCAGAGACGGGCACCAAATTAAGTGAGTGCAGAGGCGGGCACCAGATTAAGTGAGTGCAGAGGCGGGCACCAGATTAAGTGAGTGCAGAGGCGGGCACCAGATTAAGTGAGTGCAGAGGCGGGCACCAGATTAAGTGAGTGCAGAGGCGGGCACCAGATTAAGTGAGTGCAGAGGCGGGCACCAAATTAAGTGAGTGCAGAGGCGGGCACCAGATTAAGTGAGTGCAGAGGCGGGCACCAGATTAAGTGAGTGCAGAGACGGGCACCAGATTAAGTGAGTGCAGAGACGGGCACCAAATTAAGTGAGTGCAGAGGCGGGCACCAGATTAAGTGAGTGCAGAGGCGGGCACCAGATTAAGTGAGTGCAGAGGCGGGCACCAAATTAAGTGAGTGCAGAGGCGGGCACCAGATTAAGTGAGTGCAGAGGCGGGCACCAGATTAAGTGAGTGCAGAGGCGGGCACCAGATTAAGTGAGTGCAGAGACGGGCACCAGATTAAGTGAGTGCAGAGACGGGCACCAGATTAAGTGAGTGCAGAGACGGGCACCAGATTAAGTGAGTGCAGAGGCGGGCACCAGATTAAGTGAGTGCAGAGGCGGGCACCAGATTAAGTGAGTGCAGAGACGGGCACCAGATTAAGTGAGTGCAGAGACGGGCACCAAATTAAGTGAGTGCAGAGGCGGGCACCAGATTAAGTGAGTGCAGAGACGGGCACCAAATTAAGTGAGTGCAGAGGCGGGCACCAGATTAAGTGAGTGCAGAGACGGGCACCAGATTAAGTGAGTGCAGAGGCGGGCACCAGATTAAGTGAGTGCAGAGGCGGGCACCAGATTAAGTGAGTGCAGAGACGGGCACCAGATTAAGTGAGTGCAGAGGCGGGCACCATATTAAGTGAGTGCAGAGACGGGCACAAGATTAAGTGAGTGCAGAGACGGGCACCAGATTAAGTGAGTGCAGAGACGGGCACCAGATCAAAGAAACGCCTCTGATTGGCGGCGGTGCGGAGGGTGCCTCTTTCATGTCTAAAGAAACTTAACCATGGCAGCCAGATGAAGTGAGTGCGTAATATTCACGTTTGGGACCTATGACGTTTGGGACCTATGACGTTTGGGACCTATGACGTTTGGGACCTATGACGTTTGGGACCTATGACCTATGACATATGAGTCGACTCAAAAGTCACCTCGTGCGGAGGGCGCCTCTGATTGGTGGTGGTGCGGAGGGCGCCTCTGCTACCATGGCCGCCAGATTAAGTGAGTGCGTAATATTCACGTTTGGCTGGATCAGAGCATATCTGGATTATTCCTTGGGTCGAAAGTTGAGACGTTTCAAAACGGAAAGCTTGGGGCCATTTAAGATTCTATTTCTTTCGTGTCTGAAGAACCTCAACCATGGCCACCAGATGAAATGAGAGATTCATTTATGACGTTGATTGCACTAGCAGTGAGTGCAGCCTAAGGTTTGGATCCTTGTTAGGTCACATGTTGAGATGTCTCAACGTCAAGACGCTGGAGTTTCTTCAGGTCAAATGGCCTTAATTATTTCCAAAGTGATTTGCAGAGTCCGTTATCTGGTGAATTTTCCAAGTGATACTTCAGATTGATTGTATCTCCCCCCGTCCCGCCTCCTACCCCCTCTTCCCCACGTTGGTTCCTCTTTCCATCCCCCTCTCTCCACCCCCCTCTCTCCCGCTCTATTTTCTTTCTCTCCCTCTCGTCGCCTCTGCCATTGCAGGCAAGCGGCTGGGATGTGCAGTTATCCTGGCTTCAAACATTCCACCCAATGCTCCCATGACAGAGGTGAGTCAACTCAAAGATTCCATGTGACATTGTAACGAGGTGACTTGTGAGTCGCCTCACACGAATCACCTTGCAGTTATCTTGGCTTCAAACATTCCACCCAATGCACCCATGACAGAGGCAAGTGATCATTTGAGTCAACTCAAAGATTCCATGTGACATTGTAACGAGGTGACTAGTGAGTCGCCTCACACGAATCACCTTGCAGTTACCTTGGCTTCAAACATTCCACCCAATGCACCCATGACAGAGGCAAGTGATCATTTGAGTCAACTCAAAGATTCCATGTGACATTGTAACGAGGTGACTAGTGAGTCGCCTCACACGAATCACCTTGCAGTTATCTTGGCTTCAAACATTCCACCCAATGCACCCATGACAGAGGCAAGTGATCATTTGAGTCAACTCAAAGATTCCATGTGACATTGTAACGAGGTGACTAGTGAGTCGCCTCACACGAATCACCTTGCAGTTATCTTGGCTTCAAACGTTCCACCCAATGCACCCATGACAGAGGCAAGTGATCATTTGAGTCAACTCAAAGATTCCATGTGACATTGTAACGAGGTGACTAGTGAGTCGCCTCACACGAATCACCTTGCAGTTATCTTGGCTTCAAACATTCCACCCAATGCACCCATGACAGAGGCAAGTGATCATTTGAGTCAACTCAAAGATTCCATGTGACATTGTAACGAGGTGACTTGTGAGTCGCCTCACAAGTCACCCTGCAGATATCTTGGCTTCAAGTATCCCACCCAATGCTCGTATGACACAGGCAAGTGATCATCGCGAAATATTCGCTGAATGATTGGGAATGCTTGGCCAGTACCGTAGAATGTATGTTGCTTCATCCCGTTGCTGTATGGTTGGACAATTGCTCCATATCCACACTAATCCACAGTGGTGTCTTAACATGCTCCTACTGGCCCCAGAGCGTCGTATTACCGTATCTCAAATATCCTCCTTCCCTTCTGATTCACATCTTCCAATCCTCCATGTCTCCATTACCCCCCAGGCAACAGCAGAGCGGTTACTGATTAAACGCCTTCCAACGCTCCTTGCCGAGCAAAGCAACACCTGACTGACTGAAATCCCCAATTACTGTGCTTAACACTGGCGCCACGCCACCGGTTCCCTTGTAATAGTATCATTTATTCTTCTGAGTTTGCGCTGTTGCTAAGGACACATTTGGATCATCAGCAGCGCCTGCAGCACCAGAAAACTTGTACTTGAAACATACGGTATCCCAACGACTTCGAACAAGCTACCGGTAACACATGCGGCCTGTTGCACCGTACCCGGCATATTTGGGGTTACAACTTACGGGTATTTCACATGCCCAGTCTCCCGCCTGCAGTGTCAATCCAAGCCTGCCAGATCAAACTACCGATACCTCGCTAAATTCGGTATTCGCTCCTTCTTTCTAGCCAGAGGTGCGGAGCGGAGGAACGTGCACTGCACAATATGGGCTCCTTCTGGAGAGGTCAATCAGTGCGCTCATTGCTCAAGACCTCTGGTAAAATGGCCCAGTGTCTGTACAGGATACGGCATCAATAAAACGAAGCCAAGACTGCACACCATCTGTGCAGAACAAGCTTCCGGAACGTACCTGGATTGGAAACAAGTCACAATTGCATGTTGGCCCTCTCTTGGCCGTCACTTTTAGCCAGTATCCACATCCGCTCCGCTCCGCACCCACAAGAATCCGCATCGCAAGTAGGGACCAGAACAAGCATCAACATCACCACCACCTCACCTGCACATACCTAGACATCAGCATCATGATGACCCTTTGATGCCCTTCCTCGGACTGTTTCTCACACGCAACAACACCCATCACTCTTGGACTCGTAACGAACCCACCCACGCCCCGCTCCCTGTCACGGACTCACTCCCTCCATTCCCACACCAGCGTGCTGGTGAATCCACATTGACTTTGACTACTCCCCTGATGCTGCTACTCCTTCTGCTTGCCTAACAACAGCACCATCAGCTGGATGTCCTTCCCTCCTGCACCCCGTTCCCCTTCCCTCCTGCACCCTGTTCCCCTTCCCTCCTGCACCGCGTCCCCTGCCCTCCTCTTGCAGCGAACCCCGATTCTGCCTCTGCAGCAGCAGGTGCAGCAGCCAGTTAGCCCATCCTTTGTCTTATCATTGCTGACAGGGCATTGCTGTCATGACAGCTGGAAGCAGCCTAATCAGTGAGTGTAGAATTGATGCCAGAGTAAAGTTTCCAAACAAGTGGAAGTGTGAATCCTAAGCAGCACTAAATCCATTCTTACTGACAACATATCTCATGTTAAATAGAGGGCCAACAGAGTTACAGTGGCCTTTCCTACATCTACCACACAAGGAGGACAGGGGAGTGTGAGTAGGACAGAGATAGGCAAAGACAGAAACCTACAGGAAAGAACGGTTTGCCTACAAGACCCAAAAAAAGGTCATCCTTATGCTATACGACCGTATATGTGGATGCGGCATCTTCATCCGCTTCTGGACCCAACCAAATCCTAGTGCACTCACTGACCCAGATGTGTCTCTTTATTCTCACTTCATCCTCCTCCCACCATTCCACACCACCTAGCCAAGAATGCACCATCCTCCATGGGCCACCATTCACCACCGTTCTCCACCACCATATTCTAGCACCGAATGCCGCACTCCTCAGCAGTAGGCCCGGTTGCATCCGCTCGCCACGGGTTGATATCCGCCCAGAGGAGCGAAAACACCGAGGCGAGCAGAATCGACCACACAACAACCAGCGTCGGCACGCGCTTGTTCTTCCCGCTCATACCCTTCAAAAACGGGTAAAGATGCAGAATCACCCAGAGCGAAAAGAAAATCTTGCCGAACATTGTCCCCATCCCAACCGTCCCCATATTCATCGCCTGCGCGATCCCCGATATAATCCCAAGGATGTTGATAATGACGAGGAACATCGGGGGGATCAGCAGCGTCGTCCACTTCACCATGTACAGCTCAGCAAACTCCCCGTCATCCGCCTGCTTCGCCGTGACCGTGAAATTCGTGTCGATGCCAGCTAGCACTTTCAAAAGGCCCTGGAACACCGCGAACAGATGCGCCGACACGCCACCGATAACCCAAAACTGCTCGTTTCGCCACAGCTCCGTCATACTCACCCCGCTCCACCTCAGCTCCAGCACGTAAGTCGCGATAATCGCCGCGAAAAGCCCGACGAAATACAGCGTCGCGATGGTGGTCAGCCCAGGAATGATGAATTTCCCCGTAAACAGACAAATCGCGGGCAGCATGCAGTACGCGAGCAGCGGGAACGACGTGAACGGGTACACGGCCGTGTTCGCATACGCCAGCCGTTGCAGCACCTTGAGGCGGTTTGCCTTCCAGCCGTACCAGATGGGGCAATGCCGGGAGAGAAAGATTTCGATGGAACCCAGAGCCCAACGCAACACCTGCAACACGACGGGCGGCAAACAGGGGGAACACCGCAGAAGACAAGATTAGGATGGATGGGGATGATGAGGAGGTGCGGCATGAACGGTTGAGAAGGTTGGGCTGGGACTTCGCGGGCGGGGGACAAAGGGTGGGGAGAACGCGTGGCATCCTTGGGAAGGCTGATCAGCAACACAGGGGCAGAGTCCCTCCCCGCCTCCTCCGGTCCCGTCCGCGCTTCCTCCGCCTCTTCCCCCGGCCTTACCCCGCTTTCCCCCTCCTTCCCCGGCCCATTCCCGCCTTCCCCCCGCCTTCCCCGGCCTCCCTCCGGCCTTCCCCGGCCTCCCTCCGGCCTTCCCCGCCACCCACCTGCTGCAGACGGTCGGACAGATTGATGGGCGCAGACCCCTTGAACGCCACCCGCTTGGGCTGGCAGTAAATGGAGCGCCACCCGCGGCACTGCATCTTGAAGCCCGTGAGAATATCCTCTGTCACGGACCCGTAGATCCACCCGATCTGCACCGGGATAGGCGGGGGACGGGAGGGAAGGGGAGAAGGTTAGAGGAGTAACATGAGATTATACTCCGTTCTTGGAGAGGTGTGGTCGATTGGGGGAGCGAGAATGGATAGGTTGGGAGCGTGGACGGGCGGAGAGGGTCGGTGCAACGCGGCTCTGGAACATAATATTGTAACATCCAAATAAGCAATCAGCAGCAAGCAACAATGTACTAGGAGGAGGTCTATGCCGAGGTCCAAGCAGCAAGAGGGAAGAACGTGTCACATCACAAGCCGAGAGCCCGTGCTCACCTCCTTGCCCCAGTCCGTGCCCTCCTCATAGCCGCACGAGATGACGTGGATTGCCTCCTTGAGCGTCGATCCCGGGCCCGTGAACGCCACGCCGCCGCCCTCCTCGTGGAACGTGGACAGCACGAACACGGGCGACGCGCCGAACCGCTTCTCGAACTTCTTCAGAGCCATCAGGCTTCCCTTCTCGTCCTCCTCCGTCATGCCTGGAGGGCGAGTGTAGGGTGGGGGAGGAAAAGAAAAGCGGCGGAGGTGAGGGACGGATGAGTGTGTGGGGGAGAAAGGGGGTGTGGGGTGGGAGTTGAATTCCGGGAACGGAACAGGAACGTGGGGGTTCTGTCTGTGAGAACGAAGATCATATCCCTTCACGTACCTTCCACGTCGTCTATCCCCATGCCCATCGCGTTCATAGCCATCGCCGCAGCTTCCTCCCTCCCCTCCGCGATCCGCTCCATCCGCCCGCTCTTCCCCTTCCCCTTGCGCCCCTTCGCCTTCCCCTTGCTCTTCCCGTCACTCAGCCCTCCGCCTTCCGCCAGCGCCTGAAGCTCCGCAGACTTCTTCTTGCGCCCGTCGCAGCCCCCGCAGCAGAAGATGCAGTGGCAGAGCGCGCAGATCCCGTTGCGCGGCTTCTTCTCCTTCTTGGGCGGATCGAATCCGTACAGCGCGTGCCGCCGGAAACAGCAACCAGTTCCGACGTATACGGGCCCTTGCACTCCGTCGAGCCCGGGCAAGTTAATCTGGACCAGTCACGGACACCAGAGGGAGAGGGCGGAACAGGGGAGGCAAAGTGAGGGCAGGAATAGACGACAGCGAGCGGCGCGGCATGGAAGGGACGACGGGAGTCGCGAGTGGGTACAGGAGACTTTGGCATGATATGCCCGAAAATCAAAGAGGAAAAGAAAACAGAAGTGAAGGAAGACAGTGCGTGTTATTGTAACATGTGATTGTAACACTCACGTCGAAGAACACGGTGTTGTTGTTGGCGTATCGATCGCTGGGGTCGATGCCGTCGAATCGCTGCGGGAACTGCACGTAGCAGCACCGCTTCCCCACGTTCGGGTCCATCATGAAACACATCGCTTCCCGGAGCGCGCGCGAGTTGTTGAGGTAATGATCGCAATCCAGATTCAGAATGTACGGCGCGTTCGTCAGCACCGCCGCGACGCGCACCAGCGAGTTCATGGCTCCGGCCTTCTTGTGGTGATTATACCCGGGCCGCTTCTCCCGCGATACGTACACGAGCCGCGGCAGCGCCACGCCGTCCGTGCCCGCGCCGCCGTTAGGACCAAGGAACACCTGGATCATGCCGGGATGGTCGCGGGATTTATTTCCGGGCCACGGTGTGCCGTCCTGCATCGTCCACCCGTCGGCCGGCACGTTCTGGAAACGCGCGCAGTGCGCGTTGATGCGCACTTTGAACTCCTCGTACTGCCGCTTCACGGTGCGACGCTCCAGCACAAACGTCGTGTCCAGCTTGTCTTTCAAAAAATCCACCTTCTGGATGAAATAAACGTCGGGCGCGCGCGGCTCGATGTTGTACTTCTTGCAAAAGGGCACCCAGATACGCGCGAATTCCGCCGTCTCGCCCATCATGTCGAACGTCAGCATGGAGCCACCATCGTCGGATAAGTAGCACGCGACCTTGTCGACCGGGTAATCGACGGCCAGGATCGACAGCAGCGTGTTCGCCGTAGTCAGCGGCGGCTCCTTCAATGGATCCACCGTCGATACGAACAGATCGACGGGTGCGAGCTGCGAGTCTTCGTTGGGCTTCTCGAATCGCAGCGACAGCCGGTCCATGTACGTTTCCCGCCGAATCGGGTTCCATTTCGGAAACTGATCCAGGATCCAGGAGAAGAAGAACCAGACTTCGCAGATGATCGACACGAGCCAGAGCCCGTACGCGTCCCACACGGGGTTCATGATACGCCAGCGGAGGAAAAGGACGGTGACGACGAGGCGCATCACGATGACGAGGCGGTACGGCGAGATTAACTCCGACTTGAGGTGGATCTTGCGGGAGAGCGGCTGGCGCGCTTCGTCCATGCTGAAAGAGAGGAGGAACGAGAAGGGGGGAGGGAGGAAAGGAGAGACGGAGTTAAAGCGAGACGATACTTAGGGCTGGGTTACAAAAGAACGAAGAACAACAGGCATGCCTACCTACCGCTCATCTCACACAGACATCTCACACTCACGTGGGCAGATCGCCATCCTGGTCTTGCGTGGGAGACCCGTCTGCGCCCATGCCGCCGTACGCGTAGTTCCCCGGGCCCCCGCCGGCGCCCGCCTCCATGCCGTCAGCGGAAGCCACGGTGCGCCCCTTCCACACGACGCTGCCGTACCCGTACTCGGTCGGGTCCTTCTTCGGGTCCAGCGCGCGCACGGCGGGGGTTTCCGAGCCTGAAAGAAGCGGAAACGGCGCGGGGGGAGGGGGAGGTGGGGGCGTGCGGAGGAAAATGGGCGAGGGGAATGAGGCAGCGAGAACACGGAACACAGCTCTTTGAACAACGAATAGCAAAAGCCACTATGTGACTTCATTCCCCACTATCTTTGCGCTGAATCTACTCTCTTACCTGATTGCGCGAGCCAGTCGTTCTGCGCTTGACTGGTGGCGTTTCCGAACGTGCCAAAACCCCCTCCGCTAGGCACGATGGCGTTGCGTGGTCCGACCTGCGGCGACGTCGATCCCACGGGCATGCCCAGGTGCTCGTTATAGTCACTCGCCGAGTCGTTGTCCATCTGCGACCTTCGGTACGCGGAGTTCTCGTGAATCGGCGACGCGCCGTATCCGAGGTTCTGCGCGTCGTCCATGGACGGCTGCGATTGATGCAGCGTTCCTGCTCCCGCCGGCGGAGGGCTAGGATCGCTCTGGTAAAGCGACGAGCGGTACCGCCAGTCCGCTGGTTGTTCCTCTCCTCCCTCCTCCTCGTCCTCCTCATCGTCCGCTTCGATCCTCGGGCTGCCCTTGAGGCGTTTGTAGAAGGTCTTGCAGTTGGGGCACGCTTTGCCGCCCTCCTTGCGCTCGTACTCGTAGCATGGCCGGCAGACGGGGTAGTTGCAGTGGCCGCACGCGATGAATGGCTCCCCGTCGACGGCCACGCCGACGGAATCGCCGCAGATCTGACAGACGGAGGTCATGTTGACAGACAGCTGAGGTTGGACGGTTTTGGTTTTTAACGTAGCGAAATATACCGCCGAGGTGGCGGTTTGAGAGTGGTATAACTACGTGAGCAATACCGGCTATATGCCGGCTTTCGCGACTGAATTCCAGGTCCTAGCTAAGTTGAAGCCATCTCTTAAAGGGTTTTTTATTCAGGCCTAAATTTCCCTTCCCGAGTCACCGTCGTCATTGTGAGTCTGGCCAAGAAGCGGCAGTCACTAGACGCAAAATTCGTTTGAACAAGGAGAAGTAGGATGAGAATCTAGAGCAGACGTAAGTCTGTAGAAGGTGCTGTGTAAGGCGAGTAAAAGGGAACTACTGAGATGACAGCACAGCAGCACAAGTCAGAGACAGTAGATGAGAGGAGGAAGAGAGCTTTTTGGATGGCTCACCTTCTCGGACCTAACTGTTACAAAGGAAGGAACAGCAGCAGGGAGGGAGGGATTTCCCAAGGCGGGGTTGAACGGGAGGGGCGAGCCGGCGGGTCGCGCAAGAGGTGGTGCAGCGCGAAGGCCGCGCTACCGCATTGGAAAATGACGTTTCCTGCGACTCGGAAAATTCGAGCGTGGAGCGATCGCAGCCCATGCGTCAGGAGGATTTTGATTGGGTGACCTTCGTGCGATTTGCGTATTGCGCTGTGTGCGATGATGTGAGCCAGTGTACGATCAGTCGTGTTGCCCCCCCGAAGCAAGGATGAACAGTGTCGGACGTTCTGCTGCCAGAGATGGGAATCAAGCACTGCACGGTCTGCTGCCAGAAGAATGGTTCTGTGGCGTTTGACCCTTTCTTTCGGCCCGTTTTTTTGGCCCTACTTGCCAGCCTCAAGCCGCGGTCACCCAATCTCAGCTCCTAACATTCTGTGCGACGCGATGCTTCTGTTGATCATCACGTGAAGAACGGTGACGATTGGAGGACCATTGACTCACCGTGCCGAGCCGACTTTAGGGTGTGCCAGCCAGCTCTGACCAGCCGAACAGGCTAGGCTCGAGGGTGCGAATTATTCCGAGCCTCGAAAGTCCAGCTTCGGCCTGATCCACCAGAGCGAAACATCAAAAGCCTCGTAGGTCTGGTAATGTTCAGCAGGGTGGCAAGGCTGGAAATTTATGGCGCGAACAGCTAGGTCTGGTTTTGGCTTCACCAAAATTCGCCAGAGTCGCTGCGCTTGTGTTCTCTGCGGTGGTGGGTGTGACCACTGACCTGACCACCCTCCCGCCAAAGCGAGCAGGTGGTCGCGGTTGGGACTCAGGGGGAGAATATGCCACAAGTAACCAACTTGGGACTCGATAACGTGAATGGTAAAAAAAAAACGCGTACGGTCACTGTATCGGGTTTTCTGACGGGTTTGGTAAGCGGGGTCACGGATTCAGTCACTAACAACAGGTAAAGAATCACGCGAATGGTCACACATGTAACTCCCGCCAAAAAAACTTGAAACTCAACAAAATTCCCGCTCGCGCCCAACCAATCTGCTAACTTGTAAAAAAACTAAAACCCAATCGGAATCGGAAGCGGTTTGGGAACGGATCAACCCTAAACACCTGGCGAGTTACGTGTTTAGGGTTGATCATCCGAAAATGCATCCAGGTTCTTTCTGGGTTTCATTTTGTTTTGGCGGGAGTTTCATCTGTGACCATTCGCGTTTTTTTTTACCAGCTGATTGTGACTGATTCCGTGAAACGCTTTATCAGTCGCGTGAAAACACCCTTTGCAGTGACCGTACCCTTTATTTTTTTACCAAAAATGTTTTCGAGTCCCATGATGGTTACGAACGGCATATTTTCCCGGACTCAGGACCCTCACATAGGTAAGTTGTACACTTTGAATAACAAACTACCCATACAGAGCAACCTATTTCCACCCACCACACTTTCATGTGCAATAATCAATGTGGTTTAGGTTGGAGAGGGTGAACCTAAGCTTGTAGGAACTTTCTTTATGTTCTCCTGAATACTCAGATATTATGTGCGTAATGTACCACCTTGAATCATTCATACAACAGAGTACAAGAGAATCAGCACAGCATCACCCCTTCACCACCTAGACACACTTTGAAACAGTTAAATCCATGCAAATCCTGGAGCTCGTTTTGCAACATCCTCACTGCACTTTCTTCTGTACCTGAAACAAGTGTTAAGAGCAGAAGCAACAGGTGAGTCAGCAAGGCGTGGCGTGTCAGCCCATAAAAGTTAAAACAGGGATTCGGAATATCATTGATGCAGGAGATTGAGGACGATGTTCCGACACATAAATACACGCACATGACAAATACATGCACATGCACACCCGTTACAACCACACACAAAAGTACACTCACTTAGATTCAACCACGCACCCATCCACACACACACCCATATACACACGAACCTGGTGGTAGCAGCGTGATGACACACCCGCCTCCCCCCGCCCCTGTGAGCTTGGAGCACAGCCCATGGCGCGCTGAGGCCATGCACACCGTGTCAATGCTGCCATGGCTCACCCCCAGAGCGCTCAGCAGGCCCTGATTCATGCTCACGAGCGTGCACAGGGATGAATAGACAGCACCGGACGGGTCTAATGTTGCTGCTTCTTCCTTTTCTTCTTCTTTTGATTCTCTTGCTTGCACTGTGTCTAGCTCTGTTGTTGTTGTTGCTGCTGCTGCTGCTGCTGCTGCTGCTGCTGGTGGTTCTTCCAGTGCTGCATTGTTCGCCATGGACTCAGTACCGGCAGCAGCTTCTGCTACCTGTGCCACTGCTCCTGCACCGGTGGCACTTGCCTCTCTGGTGGCACTCGCTGCTCTTGATTCGGATCCCTGCTGCTGCTGCTGTAGCAGCTGGGAGGCCTGCTCAGCAACGTGGTGCAGAGCGAGGCAGGAAAGGGCAGGGCAGGGCAGGGCAAGGCAGGGCAGGGCAGGGCAGGGCAGGGCAGGGCAGGGCAGGGTGCAACGCACAGTGACCATCAGCATTAAGTCCCACGCAGGCTGGCTCACGAAATATGGGCAAGCTCATTCCTGCTCTGACAGATGTCAGCACCATGGCAAGGGCTCATGGCTAATACTCCTCATACAGGAAGGCATATAACCTTGTACGCTCACCTGCAGCGCAATGCGGGTGAATAAATGGAATGGCATGGCATGCAGTGCGACGTGCATGGCATGCCATGTAACCTTCCACACTCGCCTGCAGGGCCACATGGTGCATGGTATGGGCATGCACCAGACATGCATGCGTGACAAGCAACGTTACCTTATATACCCACCTGCAGGGCCCACAGTGTGCATGGCTTGCGGCATAGTCGCCACGCTGTCAGCATGCGCCACGAGACAGGCAGCCGCTGCATGGTGCTCCCTTGTTGTTTCACGACACGACACAACCAAGACACAAAAATCCTCGCAAGGAATCCAAGCCGTTCCTCGCAATGTTTTTCTCTTTAGCTGAGACTAAAGCGAAGTGAGAGATTTTACAGGCTCTTAATCTGTTCCCTGTGCTAATCGGAATCCACCTCACTGCTCTTCCCCATGAGCGAGGAGGAGGACCCCTGGTAACCCCATGCTCGTGTAATGCTCTGCTCACCTGCAGGGCCACATGGTGCATGGCTTGCAGTACAGCTGTCACATGCACATGCCATGTACCATGTCTTCTATGGTCCATGGCAGCACGCGTGTAGCCTTCTATGCTCACCTGCAGGGCCACATGGTGCATGGCTTGCAGCACGGCTGTCACACTGTCGGCATGTGCTGCCAGGCGCGCAGCCACTCCTGACACGAGCACGCGCGTGCTGCGAGGGACTCGCGTGTTGGTGAGCAGCAGGGAGAGCGGTAGAGCACAGGGGATGGGGTGGGCTTTACCCTGCTGGAAGGACGTTATGCCGCCTGAGAGGGTGGAGAGCGGGGATGGGAGGGAGGAAGGAGCGGAGAGGGTGGGAGGGCGGGGGGGCGGGAGTTGGAGTTGGATTGAAAGACACCTCCAGGGGATGGGCTGTGCACTGAACTGTTGGAGACACGAGCTCGCACTCGTGCTGCGAGGGACATGCGTGTTGGTCAGCAGCAGAGCGAGCGGCAGGGCGCAGGGGATGGGGTGGGCTTTACCCTGCTGGAAGGATGTTATGCCGCCTGAGGGGGTGGAGAGCGGGGAGAGGAAGGAAGGGGGGGGAGGGGGAAGTTGGACTGGCTTGAAGGTCACGCCTGCGGGGGATGGGGTGGGCTTTACCCTGCTGGAAGGACGTTATGCCGCCTGAGAGGGTGGAGAGGGGGGGGGCGAGGGTGGGGAGGGGGGGGTGAGGGTGGGGAGGGGGGGGTGAGGGTGGGGAGGGTGCCTTAACAAGCACTCAAACCTGTAGGGAATGGACCGAGCACTGCGCTGATGGAAAGACGTTACACTGCCTGCGAGGGTGGCGAGGGGGAGGGTGGGGAGGGAGAGAGAGGGAGGGTGAGCGAGGGGAGGGTGAGAGGGAGGAGGGTGAGATGGGGAAAGGCCTGGTAGGGGAAGGGTGAGCAGTGTGCTTTTTAGCGCCATGGAGTGCAGTGCCATTCATCTAGGCTCCACACCACACCACACCACACCACACCAGCACCACACCAGCACGAGCACCAATCGGTGAGTACATTCAGGCGCATCACAGCCAGGTGGCAACTGTGCACACCATGGCACATTACAAATCGCAACGGCATGGCAGCTCTCCCCCACTCACGCCACCCACCCACCCTCGCAGCACCCTCCCACTCACCATGGCAGCACCCTCCCACTCACCATGGCAGCACCCTCCCACTCACCATGGCAGCACACGTGGTTGTCCACGCCTGACGCCTTCCCATGGATGATCTGCTCCGCCTCATACGCCCACCCACTCACCACCCGCTTCCCCTCCTCCCCCACCTCCGCCGGTTCCCTCCCGCCCGCCCCCTTTGACTGCTGCTCTATTGAAGGTGAGTGTGCGGAGGGTGAGTGTGGGGAGGGTGACTGTAACGAGGATGAGTGTAACGAGGATGAGTGTAACGAGGGTGACTGTAACGAGGGCGCGGGTGTAATGCAGCCAGCAGCAGAGAGCATGGCGGCTGCCAGGGCGGTGGAGAATGCAGCAGAGGAGCCGAGACCCGCGCCGGGAGGGATGTCTGATGTGACTGTAACGAGGGCGGGCTGGAGGCTGCAGGGGGTGGGGGAGTGGGAGTGGAGGAGGGGGAGGAGGAGGAGGGGGAGGAGGAGGAGGAGGAGGAGGAGGAGGAGGAGGAGGAGGAGGAGGAGGAGGAGGGGGGGGGGGGGGGGGGGGGGAGGAGGAGGAGGAGGAGGAGGAGGAGGAGGAGGAGGAGGAGGAGGAGGGGGAGGAGGAGGAGGAGGAGGAGGAGGAGGAGGAGGAGGAGGAGGAGGAGGAGGAGGAGGAGGAGGAGGAGGGCAAAGAAATAGTGGAGGAGAATGATAGGGGAAAGAGGGGAAGGTGGAGAGATTCACGAGATAGCCAATGCGACGAGACGACTCTATCTATCTATTACGGCATAGCCAATACACGTGGCCCTGTGCGTTCATAAGCCTACGATTCTTCATCCGAGGTGCCGTTGAGACGGCTTTTTGAGTCGCCTCAAAGCTCCTGTGCCGGCATCCCTCCGACACCTACACTGCTGTTCACCCGGCCAGATGCATTGGGTGGGTTGCATTGCACCCACCCACCCACGCACCCAATGATTCGCGACAGCAGGAACAGGAAGGCTTGTACGCCTGCGCGCTCCGACGGTCCTCCTAGCGACGCCACGCCTTCTCCCGCGTCTAGGAGCTCCTCGAACGCGGCGCGGTGCTCCTCCGGTAGTCTGGAAGGTGAAAGCGGGGTGGGCGCGGGGAATGCGGCGGGGTGTGCGCGCGCGACGCGACGGAGGCTCGCGATTGGCCAGCTGATGTACGCGTTAGTGGAGGGAGAGGAGAGCACGAGGCGATGCGGCTCGGCCTGCGGCGACGGCTGTTGCGGCAACCATTGCGGCGTGTCTTGCGGCGGTTGTTGCTCCGGGGACGGGTCGGTATGAATAGGAAGGTCCGAACTAATAGGGTCCCCTTTGGAACGGTCCCATTTAAAGATGTCCAGCCGTACGTTCGTCCGAAGGCTGATGCTCCCCGCGACGCACATCTTGCCGTGAACCACGGAGTGCTCGCCGAATAGGATCACCTTCCCAGGCGCCGACGCCGCGAATCGCGCCGATGGCTGGATTGTCGCGGTTCGCGCCTCCGTCCGCACCTCCGCATCCACCTCCGCCGCCGCCGACGCCGCTGGCACTGAATGCTCGTGGCACGTAGCCATACGACCCGGCTGGGTGTGGCCTGTAGTCCGCTGATTCGAGGGACTCTTGGTGGTAGGTCGGAGTGCTACTTATTGGCTATTGCCGACTAAGAGTGCTGTTTCTAGCGTCGAGTGAATTGCCGAACTTCGCGTAATACGGTTACGGGTTGGTGGTAGCTCCTCCTGCTGCTGCTGCTGCGCTGCTGTTAGCACACGCGGATCGCAAGCTCCGGTGCTCAGGGTGAAAGGACGAGGAGAAACGACGAGAGGAATAAGTGAAAGAGACGGCTTGAACAATGAGGAATAAGTGGGAGCGATTGTGTGGTGGCGCATTTGCGACGGGGAATTGGCACGACCATCCACTATGGCGCACTAACTCGGGCGTGTTCAGTTTGGTTTAGGCTCCCAAAGGCTGCTGCCCTCCTATCAAGTTTGGACCATTGCTTGCCTAAGCGATGCTAAGCTCTGTGAAAATAACCGCTAGAATTTGCGAAAAACCCAGGAAAACACTCGTGAGTGAAATCCATGTGACACCTTGCGGTCCTTCGGCTCCAAGAAAATGCGCCCCGGGTTTCCAGATCTGCGAGACGCTTGCGAAGGCGCAAAATGGACGGTGCGTTCTTCGCCGATGTAGGCTCCACCGCTTGATCTTCTCTGCCCTTGAAAATCGTCGACAGTCGCCAATAGTGTGCCCATACAAAATGGTTACGCGCCCTAAGCATATTCGCGATACAAAAACATTTTTTTTTCTCGATACGTAAATGAAGGATTCAGTAAATGCAAATAACATTCCAGCAATGAGAATTCCCAGCTCAACTAGAGTAGGCTCACTCTCCTAGTCAATTTCCTGACAATTTGCCGTTTCCCGCACTTTCAGAGACAGCAGCAGCCGCCGCCGCCGCAGGAGATGTTCGCTCTGCCAGTGTTGCCACGTGTCGTGTTTTCAGTCAATGTCGCACGGCATCATAGGCAGAGTGCGAATCACCCGTCCATACGTTCGAATGACCTGCTAGCTGGTCAGCAGACCGTCGAGAGGTCGTTTCCCCGGCTACGCCGTCAAGTTAACGGTCAGCCGTCGTCTTCTCGAAACGTTGTTCGTCGGGTTAACCTCTCTAGAAGCACGGATAATCGGCGCGCTTTTGGTGGCGCGATACGCATCGCCACAACCACTCGTGTCCAGGCTGTCTCGGGAGACAACGGAAATGAGAATGGGAACGAGGAGGAGAAGGAGAAGGAGAATAAAAGCAAGAAGAATCCTAGCAGATTCACCAGCAGCAGCAGCAGCAGCAGCAGCGGAACCAGCACCACGCAGAGCGACGGGACTCCTTGGGCGCTCCAGGTGCTGGTGGGCGCCGCGACCGCCGCTCTCGATCTACTCACACCGCGGGTGAGCGTCGCGGCGAGAGGTTCACTTCACACCGTGGTTGAGCGTGGAGACGAGAGGTTGGGAGGAGCGGGGGATACACAGCAGGTGGGTTGGATTTGCCTTTGAGTCGACTCAACAGCACAGCAGGGGGGATGGATGTTGAGTTGAGGTGGAAGGGGATGGTTGGCTTGGGGTAACAGCCGCAAGGGCTGTGGCTTGGTGGCACGTTTGGATTGGATGTAAGGCAGTCGATCAGTCGCCCTGTTGATGTCTCGAGCAATCAGCGTGTATGTGCTGTGCGGTGCTGTGCTGTGCTGTGTGTTGCTGTGCTGTGCTGTGCTGTGCTGTGCTGTGCGGTGCTGTGCGGTGCTGTGCTGTGCTGTGCTGTGCTGTGCTGTGCTGTGCTGTGCTGTGCTGTGCGGTGCTGTGCGGTGCTGTGCTGTGCTGTGCTGTGCGGTGCTGTGCTGTGCTGTGCTGTGCTGTGCTGTGCGGTGCTGTGCGGTGCTGTGCTGTGCTGTGCTGTGCTGTGCTGTGCTGTGCTGTGCTGTGCTGTGCTGTGCTGTGCTGTGCGGTGCTGTGCCGTCCTTGTACTGTGCTGTGCTGCTCTCTGTGTGTGCTGCTCCTTCCTCTCTGCGCCTGTTTGCTTCTCTTCTTGCTACCTTACTATCCAGACAGACCCTGTAACCAAACCACAAGCACAAGAACCTAGCAGCAGCACCACCACCACCACCATTTCAGCCAATGCTGCTACTGCTGCCACTGCAGGCAATGTAGCCATGTGGAACAGTGAGGCAAGCGATGCGGAGGATTGCGGAGGAGTGCTGCGGGAACTAGTGGAGGCCATTCGAGAGGACTACGAGCAGCGAGCGTATTTCGTCACAGGCACGCGCTCTCTGCTCTCAGTCAAGCACTCACGCCCTTCTAAGACGCCATCTCTCCTCCCCCTAGTGGGAGAAGTGGCGAGTTGGCATGAAACGCTTCCCAAACTCGTCTGATCTCTCCCTCGGTCACAGGCACGCAGTCTCGTCCTCTCTCGTTCCTCTGTGCTGTGCGCGGCGCGGCTGCTGAGACGGCAGAGATTCGTATGCTGTTACGGCGGCACCCGCTCGTTCCCTCTGTGCTTCTCTCCCTCATTTGGTCGCATGCGTTTCTTCCCGTCCCTCTCCCTACCCCTTTCCCTTCCCCTTCCCCCCCCCCGTCCCCGTCCCCCTCCCCTTCCCCGCCCCCTTTCCCACCAGGAGACATCTCTGTGCGTTTCTACGATGACGCGTGCCTCTTTGCCGATCCGCGTGCTGTGACCCCTCATACGTTCCTCCCGTTCTCCCGCCCGTGCTCCCGCTCACCCCTTCCCCGTCCCCCTTCCCCACCAGGAGACATCTCTGGGCGTTTCTACGACGCCTCATGCCTCTTTGCCGACCCCACGATTCAGTTCTCTGGGCTTCAGCGCTGGCAGCGCAACATTGCTCTGCTCACTCGCTTCTTCTCCGCTCCCACCATCCACCTGCAGGACCTGCAGGTGCGTGGGGTAGGAGGAGAGAGCATGCGTGCATGTGAACAGGAGAGAGAATGATAGTATAGTAGGATAACGAGAGAGGGCAGGAAAGAGCAGGAGGAAGTAGGAGAGAGTGGGAGAGGAGGAGAGAGTGGGAGAGGAGGAGAGAGTGGGAGAGGAGGAGAGTGTGGGAGAGGAGGAGAGAGTGGGAGAGGAGGAGAGTGTGGGAGAGGAGGAGAGAGTGGGAGAGGAGGAGAGTGTGGGAGAGGAGGAGAGTGTGGGAGAGGAGGAGAGTGTGGGAGAGGAGGAGAGTGTGGGAGAGGAGGAGAGAGTGGGAGAGGAGGAGAGTGTGGGAGAGGAGGAGAGTGTGGGAGAGAGTAGGAGTGAGTAGGAGAGAGTGGGAGACAGTAGGAGAGGAGGAGAGGGAACGATAGCAGGAAACCTTTTCTTCACGTGTTGTCCTACCGCTGCAACCCTATTCCTGGCCCTCCATGTCCCACACCTTCAGGTCTTTCCCGCAACACCCTCGTCTGCAGCACGCCTGGAGTTGCTTTTGAGAATTCTCGAAAGCTGCAACCCCTCATGTGGACCAAACACCATACTTGCCCTCCACACCCCCCACCTTCAGGTCTTCCCCGCAACACCCTCGTCTGCAGCACGCCTGGAGACGAGATGGCGCCTGCTGTAAGCTATGGAGGAAATTGGGAGACAGGGGTGATGTGGGAACGTGGGGATTGCATGACGTTTGAGGCATGGGAAATGGGCGTGTGACAGACAAGATTATGTGGGTCAGCGTCACGCCTGCAGACCAGATGGCGCCTGCTGTAAGCTATGGAGGAAATTGGGAGACAGGGGTGATATGGGAACGTGGGGGTTGCATAATCTGTGTGCAGTCTCAGGTGTGATACACCCACCCACCCATCCACCCACCCACCCACCCACCCATCCACCCACCCACCCACCCACCCATCCACCCACCCACCCACCCACCCACCCATCCACCCACCCACCCACCCACCCATCCACCCACCCACCCATCCACCCATCCACCCATCCACCCACCCACCCACCCACCCATCCACCCACCCACCCACCCACCCATCCACCCATCCGCCCATCCACCCACCCACCCACCCACCCATCCACCCACCCACCCACCCACCCATCCACCCACCCATCCACCCACCCACCCACCCACCCATCCACCCACCCATCCACCCACCCATCCACCCATCCACCCACCCACCCACCCATCCACCCACCCATCCACCCACCCATCCACCCACCCACCCACCCACCCATCCACCCACCCACCCACCCACCCACCCACCCACCCATCCACCCACCCATCCACCCACCCATCCACCCACCCATCCACCCACCCATCCACCCACCCACCCACCCACCCATCCACCCATCCACCCACCCACCCACCCACCCACCCATCCACCCATCCACCCACCCACCCACCCACCCACCCATCCACCCATCCACCCACCCACCCACCCACCCACCCACCCACCCATCCACCCATCCACCCACCCACCCATCCACCCATCCACCCATCCACCCATCCACCCATCCACCCATCCACCCATCCACCCATCCACCCATCCACCCATCCACCCACCCACCCATCCACCCATCCACCCATCCATCCATCCACCCACCCACCCATCCATCCATCCCATCCATCCATCCATCCACCCATCCACCCACCCACCCACCCACCCATCCACCCACCCATCCACCCACCCACCCACCCACCCATCCACCCACCCATCCACCCACCCATCCACCCATCCACCCACCCACCCACCCATCCACCCACCCATCCACCCACCCATCCACCCACCCACCCACCCACCCATCCACCCACCCACCCACCCACCCACCCACCCACCCACCCATCCACCCACCCATCCACCCACCCACCCACCCACCCATCCACCCATCCACCCACCCACCCACCCACCCATCCACCCATCCACCCACCCACCCACCCACCCATCCACCCATCCACCCACCCACCCACCCACCCATCCACCCATCCACCCACCCACCCATCCACCCATCCACCCATCCACCCATCCACCCATCCACCCATCCACCCATCCACCCATCCACCCACCCACCCATCCACCCATCCACCCATCCATCCATCCACCCACCCACCCATCCTTCCATCCCATCCATCCATCCATCCATCCACCCATCCACCCACCCACCCATCCACCCATCCACCCATCCATCCACCCACCCACCCATCCATCCATCCATCCATCCATCCATCCATCCATCATCCATCCATCCATCCATCATCCATCCATCCATCCATCCATCCATCCATCCATCCATCCATCCATCCATCCATCCATCCATCCATCCATCCATCCATCCATCCATCCATCCATCCATCCATCCATCCATCCATCCATCCATCCATCCATCCATCCATCCATCCATCCATCCATCCACCCACCCATCCACCCACCCACCCACCCACCCACCCATCCACCCACCCACCCATCCACCCATCCACCCATCCACCCACCCACCCACCCACCCATCCACCCACCCACCCACCCACCCATCCACCCATCCACCCATCCACCCACCCACCCACCCACCCACCCATCCACCCACCCATCCACCCACCCATCCATCCATCCACCCATCCACCCACCCACCCATCCACCCATCCACCCATCCATCCACCCACCCACCCATCCATCCATCCATCCATCCATCCATCCATCCATCCATCCATCCATCCATCCATCCATCCATCCATCCATCCATCCATCCATCCATCCATCCATCCATCCATCCATCCATCCATCCATCCATCCATCCATCCATCCATCCATCCATCCATCCATCCATCCATCCATCCATCCATCCACCCACCACCACTTGCATATTGAAAACTCTTTCCCCTTCCCTCCCGTCCCCTTATCCCATTCTTCCTACCCCTCTTCCCCCGCCCAGCGCGCCCATCAACCTGCCATGGCGGCCAGTGGTGGACATTCATGGGTCCACAGTGCACACGCTTAGTGCTGCCGGCACCAAGGTGCGTGCGAGCTGGTATGACGAAGTGGTGTGGTCTGCTGTGGTGTGGTGCAGTGTGTGTGTTTCTCAGTCACTCCTTCAGCGTTAGCCCCATCAATCTGCCATGGAGGCCAGTGGTGGACATCAGAGGATCAACAGTGCACACACTCAATGCTGCCGGCACCAAGGTGCGTGCAAGTTGGTACGTCGAAGTGGTGTGGTGTGGTGTGGTGTGGTGTGGTGTGGTGTGGTGTGGTGTGGTGTGGTGTGGTGTGGTGTGGTGTGGTGTGGTGTGGTGTAACAAGGTGGGCACACACGATGCCGCCGTCGTGGTACCAAGGTGGGTGCGAGCTGCTAGTGCGAGCTGCTAGTGCGAGCTGCTAGTGCGAGCTGCTAGTGCGAGCTGCTATAGTGATAGGCTGTGCGGGCTGGGAGGGTGTGTGTGCGGGCTGGGAGGGTGTGTGTGCGGACTGGGAGGGTGAGTGTGCGGGCTGGGAGGGTGTGTGTGCGGGCTGGGAGGGTGTGTGTGCGGGCTGGGAGGGTGTGTGTGCGGGCTGGGAGGGTGTGTGTGCGGACTGGGAGGGTGAGTGTGCGGGCTGGGAGGGTGGGTGTGTGGGCTGGGAGGGTGAGTGTGCGGGCTGGGAGGGTGAGTGTGCGGGCTGGGAGGGTGTGTGTGCGGGCTGGTAGGGTGTGAATGTGAATGCGAACAGGTGTGAACCAACTCTCTGCTGTTCATGTGCTTCAGCAGCAGAGATTCGGTTGAGTCTCTCTATTCACCAGCCTACCGTGGCTCTTTATTTGCTGAACTATTATTTTTTGTAGGCCACTCCACCTGTCATCCGCCTCTGGTCCACTTTCGAGAATGGGTTGAAAACGACTCGTCCATATGTCATCTGCCTATACTCCGCCTCTGCAGCCTGTGTCACGTGTTGAGGCATGGGAGGAGTCATGAGTCGACGCAATTGCCCTCCCTCTCACCCCTCCACCTCTCGACCACCTCTCCTCCACCTCTGCAGGTAGTGTCGCATGTGGAGGCATGGGAGGTGTCTTCTTACGAATCCATCATGCAACTCTTCAGACCTGGCCCTCCTGGCCCCCCCGGCCCTCCTAGATCTCCCACCTCTCCCCCACCTCTCCCCCACCTCTCCCCCACCTCTCCTCCACCTCTCCTCCACCTCTGCAGGTAGTGTCGCATGTGGAGGCATGGGAGGTGTCCGCTTACGAGGCCATCATGCAGCTCTTCAGACCCGGCCCTCCTGCCCCTCCTAGCCCTCCGGGATGATTGTCAAGGTCAGAGTGGAATTTCATTTCAGGGCTTCGATTCGACGGTGATACTCCGAGACGCGTGGTGAATTTAATTTAAGAAAGAGCAGTGTGCACGCAGAATATATTAAAAAACAAATATGTGCCTGCTACCCAGGCAGTTGATTGTTACCGTGCAACTATATGTCAAGAGTAACATGCAACGGAATGATGGGATTAGGAATGTGGGTGATACAAATAGCAAACCCTAATTGAGTTGTACTCACTAAGGAGCACCTCACTACAGCCTATCACAAATAGCAAAATTTGACACACCCCCATAGGCTAAGTGAGGGGCATCAGAGCAAGCAGGGTGAACAAACGGTCACAAGACCAGTTAAGAGAAGAAGCAAAACAAGCTCAGGGTGGATCTCAAGGACACCACACAAATTATGAGCACAAACAAGCGGCCACAAGGCCAGTTGAAGAGAGCACAAGTATATATAGAGGGTATTACAAGCAGAGCAAGCAACGAGAACAACACTACAGCAACCGAAGGCCTACCTCAACAAGCCCTAGCTGCACACAGAACCTGTGGTGGTCACCAGGCGCCAAGGCCTTGGTGAAGACGTCGGCAGTGTTGGCCTCCGAGGCCACAAAGTCCAAGCGTGCCTGGTCGCGGCGCTGCAGCTCGCGCAGGAGGAAGTACCTCACGTCAATGTGCTTCGGTCTGCTCTCCAGTCGAGGCTCTCGACACAGGAGGATCATGGCCTTGTTGTCAGCGTACAAGGTCGGTGCAGAGCGAGGCCGCTCACCAAGGTCGGCAAGCAAGAAGGTCAACCAGCGAAGCTCCTGTGCCGCCATGGCACCAGCGTAAATCTCTGCCTCTGCACTGGACGAAGCCACAGACGACGAACGTGTAGACCTCCACGACACAGCACCAGCACCCAGGCTGAAACAGTAACCCTGAGTCGAGTGCTGAGTCTCCACGTCGTCAGCGTAGGAAGAGTCGCAGTGACCGGTCAACACAACTGGCTGAGTCCCTCCAAGCACAAGCCCCATGCCTGATGTAGTCGCTAGGTACTTCGCCACCCTCACAGCAGCTGTCCAGTGGACAGGACGGTGTCTCCCAGTCGCAACAAAGCGAGAGAGGACGCTGAGGGGGAAGGCGAGGTCCGGCCGAGTACAAGTCATCAGGTACATGAGGCAGCCCACCAGCTCTGCGTAGGGACCACTAGACTCAAAGGGCTCGTCGGGAAAAGGGCCAGTGAGTCGGTGGTCAACGGCAAGAGGAGTGGGCTGTGTGGTGGAGAACTGAAACCCGAACCACCGAAGGACCTGCTGCACCATGTGTGACTGAGTCAGTGTGATGGTGCGAGCGGCTCTGTCCCTGGTGATCTGCAGGCCAATGTAGCGCTGCAGTTCACCAAGGTCAGTGCGCTTATGTCTCTTCTGCAGTTCGGACTTCACCTCAGCCAGAGCTGTTCTGTCTGCTGTAGCAAAGACCAAGTCGTCGACGTAAACCATTACAAAGAAAAGAGTGGAACCAGCGCGAACAAACAGCGACGGGTCGGCAGAGGAAGGACGAAACCCAAGGTCACGAAGCGTGGAGCGAAGAGTGTCGTGCCACTCACGGGGCGACTGGCGGAGACCGTAGACTGGCCGCCTCAGGCTCCACTGGGTCCCAGGTGGGAAGGTGTCAGTGAAGCCAGGAGGACGGCACAGCCAGATCACCTCGTGTAGCCGGCCCTGGAGAAACGCAGTGGAGAAGTCGAGGGAGTGCAACTTGTAGTCTCGCTGTGCTGCTACGTGTAGTAACACCCAAAGAGTAGTCATCTTCGGGGTCGGGGCGAAGGTCTGGCAGAAGTCAACTCCCTCACGCTGACTGAAGCCCCTAGCCACGTAGCGCGTTGAACACCGGCGGTGATCCAGGCGGCCGCTTCACCTTGAAGAGCCACATGCCATCGACTACGTTCGCCCTGGGAGGGTGAACTGCGTCGACGTAGGTGCCTGCGGATCTCCAAGACGCTAACTCTGAGTCCATAGCCGCTTTCCACTGAGAGGCCCACTCCCCCGACACTGCCTCGCGGTAAGTGCGAGGAGTCGGTATGTCAAGGGCGTCGGGGTCTCCCTCAGGGGATAGCAGCATGGCACAGACAGAGGGAGAAGCGGCTGCCCAGTACTCCAGCTCAGACTCTCTGTCCTCTAGGACATCACAGCCAAGGGCAAACTCACCCCTGACGGACAGAGGACGGGAGGGAGGAGCTGGCACCACACGGGTGGCGTAGTCAAGGCGGCTGGCGGCAGCAAACTCAGCTACAGCGGCAGTGAGAGCCGAGACAGACGACGGAGAGAAACGAGAGCCGGTGACAAGAGTGGCGAGAACACTGGAGACAACAGGACGAACAGCTCGGTAGTAGTCGGAGATAGGAGTAGGGGGGACAGGGAGAGAGGACGGAGGAGGAGACGGGAGAACGGACTCAGGAGGAGAACGACGAAGAGATGAACAAAGGAGGGCAGTGCGGAGGTCGGTAACGGGGGACGAGTGACGAGCACGCGGAGGACAGGGACGTACACGAGAGTGTGGGACAACCGGAGGAGGAGACGGGGACCTAGGAGACGACCAGACCGCAGGAGAGTCGTCAGGAGGAGGAAACGTAGGACCAAAGGCAGGGGGGGACTGAGAGCGGATAGGAGAAGAGGAGGGAAGACCAAGGGCCCGCAGGCCACTCACTGGCGGGAACAACTGCCGCTCCAGAGGAAGCTGCTGCTGCTGCTGCCGCTGCTGCTCCAGCAGGTCCAACTGCCGCAGCTCCTGCTTCCAACAGCACCTGCTCCTCACGCGCACGCCGGCGGGCCGCCTGGAGACGCGTGTCGTGGCGGTGGGGAGGCGGAGTGGAATCCGCAGAACCAGTGTCTCCAGCTCCAGTCTCCTCAGAACCAGTACCACCAGTGCCGGTGTCTCCAGAGGTAGCACCACCAGAGTCAGTGTCTCCAGCTCCAGTACCTCCAGAACTAGCACCTCCAGTGCCAGCGCCTCCAGCTCCAGCACCCCCCAGAACTAGCACCTCCAGTGCTAGTGCCTCCAGCACCAGCACCCCCAGAACCAGCACCTCCAGTGCTAGCACCTCCAGCTCCAGCACCCCCAGGACTAGCACCTCCACTGCCAGCACCTCCAGCTCCAACACCCCCAGGACGAGCACCTCCAGTGCCAGCACCCCCAGCTCCAGCACCCTGCGAGCGAGCACCCCCAGACCGAGCACCTCCATTGGCAGCACCTCTAGCTCCAACACCCCCGGAGTCCACAGTAACCTGTCGCGGAAGTGCCGAAGGCTGCTGAGGGGACTGTGAGGAGGAATGCGGGGAGGGAGACGCAACCTGACGCGCGACCGAGGGCAGAGGGGTAGCGTGAGACACACCTGACGGGGCAGGACCAGGGGGGGGCGGTGGTACCGGAGGAGCGGGGGCAGGAGGAGGAGAGGGTGCGAGGAAAAGGGGGGGAGGGGCTACCGGGAGACCTCGACAGGGGTACCGGGTGTAGTAGGACACTGACTCGTCGAACCGGACGTCACGGGAGTCTAGGAACTGGTGGAGAGGCGGGTGGTAAAAGGTCCAGTCGGAAGAGTCTACCGGGAAACCAAGGAAGACACAGGGGACGGCGCGAGCCGAGAGCTTGTCCGCAGAGGTGTCGCGGACAAGCGCAAGGCAGCCCCAGACACGAAAGGCCGACCCAACACCAGGGGACCCGGTCCAAAGACTGGTCGGTGAAGCCTCTGGCCGCGAGACACGTGGCTGGAGGTTCAGCTGGTGGGCGGCGTAGCGAACCGCGTAGGGCCACAGAAAATGGGGCGCACGGGCATGAATCATGGACGTGCGGGCGATGTCCATGACCAAGCCAATGCGGCGCTCAGCAACCCCATTCTGCTGTGGGGATTCCGGCAGCGTCCAGGACTGTAGGATGCCCTGCTCGCCGCAGAACCCGGCAAGAATGCCTGAGCGAAACTCACCCCCACGGTCGGAGTGGAGACAGGAGACACGACTGCCACGAGTGCCCTCAGTGGCCAAGAGCCACCGGATCAGCGTAGAAGTCACCTCGGACTTCTTCGCGAGAGGAAACACCGTGGTGTACCTGGAGAAGTCGTCGACGACCACCAGAAAGTACCGCTCCCTCTCAGGTCCTTGCGTGGGGGCAGGGCCCCAGACGCCCAAGTGGAGCGTCTGGAAGGGAGCAGTGGCCGAACGAAGGGAGGAGGAGTGCGGAGTGGCACGGAGACGGCCGGCGACGCAAGGAGTGCACGGCGGTGCAGGGGAGGGAGGGAGCGACGGAAAGACGCGAGGGAGACCTGAGACAAGGCGGTGACTAGCCATGGTGCGGAGGCGGGGGATCGACGGGTGGCCAAGACGGTGGTGCCACAAGACGGTCCTGTGGGTGAAAGACCGACAAGAGCAAGACGCAGCAACCTGACCAGACGCAGCAGTCAGACTGGACACAGCAACCGGAGGGGATGCAGTAACCTGATCGGACTCCGCTACCTGGGGGGACGCAGTAACCTGACCGGACTCAGCAACCTGGTGGGACGCAGTGTGCAGGACGAAGAGACCTGAGTGGGGCTCCCTGGTGAACGTGGCAAGAAGTGCCGCGGTGGAAGCATCCGTACAGATCGCCGTCCTCCCGTGCGCCAGAAAAGTGACTGTGATCCCACGGTCCTGAAGGTATCCGACACCCACCAAGTTCCGAGAGAACGAGGGGATGTAGAGACCAGTGAGGAAACCAGAAGGGACAGCCGGGCACGGGAGAGTGGTCGAGCTGCGAGCGACTGCTGGTCCTGAAGTAGGATCAGCCAGGGCAACTGGGACTGGAGCCGAAAGAGGTGTGACAGTGGTGTGGTCGCGAAAGAAGCACTGAGACGCGCCTGAGTCCAGCGTGAAGGAGAGCGACGCGCCAGCAGTCGTCACTGCAGGACTAGTGACTACACAAGCACCTACACTAAAAGCACAAGTACCGACACTAGCAAAAGGCAAAGGTCCTAAGCTAGGTAC